ACAAAACAGAAGCCCCGACACAGCAAAAATAATAAAATTAATTAATTAATAAAAGACTTTGTTTAAAAAAAAAAAAAAAAAAAAAAAAGTACTTGCACATAGATGATCCTCAGTAATCAATGTTAGCTATTATTAGGATGAAAATTTGGGGTGGTTCTCTATCATTCACTGTTTACAAGTGCCCAGGACTGATAGATACTGCCTCTAAGCCTGCTCCTCCTGGGGCTGGGTTTGGAGTTGGAAGCCTGCAGGGTGGGAGCGGCCGTGTCTCTGCTGTCTGTGGTCATGCTGGGCCCGGCTCCAAGAACTTAGCTTCTGGCATTCCATCGGCCACACCCCAGCGTCTGCGGTTCTGAAGTCAGGATGCTCGGGTTCGTTTCCCAAGTCAGCTCTCACCTCCAAGGTGCAGAAATCCTCCTCCCTCCCTGCTGTTAAGGGGGCAGCAACCAGTCAGGGTTGCAGCGTTACACGGGGTTACAGGAAACGGGAGACCCCGATCTAAGATGCTGCTGAGATGGCATTCTGGATCAGACACTTGAACGTTGCCGACTCTCCTTGGGAGGCAGAGTGGCCTTGGCCTTGGCACCTGGGTTCAAGTCCCACTTTTATCACTTTCCAGCTGGGGCCTTAGACAAGCCCCTTAGCCCCACTGTGCTGGCACTTGCTTGGGTGAACCACGGGAATAATAATAACACCCATCCCATAAGGATAAGGTGAGGCAACATATATAGGTGTGGGCAAGGCATACGGTAAATTGCACTCATTATTAATATTTGCACTTTTTGGAGAATCGGGGTACATAGAGCGTCACAGATAAGAACCGAGGCCTTAGAATCAGGCCTGCGTGTGCATTCTGGGCAGTAACTTCCCAGCTACATGACCTCGTGTGAAATACTTTAACCTCTGGGGGTCTTGGTTTCCGAATCTGTAAACTGGACGATTAGTATTAGTCCCCATCTCCTCAGATGTTATAGGGATAAATGAGATAATCCAGGCAGCAGGACATTACAAACTTACAGTGAAAAGAATGACATCCTTTTGGCACTTCAGTGACAAACTTGCTTTTCCTCAGGCAGGGGAGGTCCAGCAGGCTCATTAGTTTCTTTGCAAAGTACAGTCTCCCGCTATCTACAGACTGTATTTCACTGATTCCTAAATGCACTTATTTTTTTCCACATTTTAACATTGCTGAAATCAGGATGAGCCTTACAATCAATAGCATCTTAATGTTATAATTTGTAGCATTTTTCCTGTCATAGCAACACACAAAATAATGGTGCCTCACTTAGATTCAGTGAGATGTATGTGCACCATATATATATATGTATGTAGGTATACATACGTTATATATGTATATATACGTGTGTGTGTGTGTATTTGACTCTTGAACAATACAGGGAGTTATGGACACCCACCCTCTCCACAGTCGAAAAATCCGCATACAGCTTATAGTCAGCCCTCCATATTCGAGTTTCCTCCGTATACGCAGATTCAACCAACTGCAGGTCGTGCAGTACCACAGTGTTGACGATTGAAAAAAGATCTGTGTGTGTGAGTGACCTTCGCAGTTCAATCTGTGTTATTCAAGGGTCAACTGTATACAGTTCACAGATTTGGAAACCAAGACTCCAAAAAGCTGAAGTAACTTACACAAGGTCACGTAACTCTAAGAGGCCACTCTGAAACACAGAAAGTGTAAAAGTCATTTTACTTTAATTAAAAAATCACGTAAAGAAAGTCACGTTAGCAAAATCAGATAGTCACTAAGTATCAGTGAAGTCATCACTGCAAAGTCCATATACCAGATTGTCCTGCATCCTCTTCTCACCACCCCAATTTGGGCTGGTGTATTTCGCAGCTACGCAGTAAAGACCTGGGTCGTTTGTGAGCCCTGAGAAGCAGAAAGCACATCCGCACGCTGGGGGCCTCTTGGGGGGCTGAAGTGGGGCTGCAGGTGGCCCCGTTTCGCTTTCCTTCTGCTTTCTCGATTTTTTGTGCCGCTTCACTCGCCCTGGCCCAGCCTTCGTCGGTGTTCAATTCTGCAGCGGGGGAGAAAACCTCATCCGTTCCTCCTCAGACGGCTTTGAGGGGAAACAAAGGAGCAAGTGCAGTGGGTACGCACTGGCACTGAGAGATGATTTTTGAAGTCGTCTTCTGAGAACTGAGCCATGGTCCCAGATCTATGTCTGCTTCCCTGATCGGAAAAAGAACCTGGGTGGAGAGAGAGAGGGGTCAGAGGAAACAGAGCGAGTTCTGAAGCGGGAAGTGCAGAACCTCCTGCAAAATCTGTAAGCAGCTCCTGCAGGCCATTTCCTCGGGGCTCATTATGGGACAGGCACTGTTCCAGGGCTTTCCATCTACTAGCTCATTTCAAACTCATAACAACATGAGGAGGTGAATACAATCAATACCGCCATTTTATAGATGAGCAAACTGAGGTTATGGGAGGTTAAGTAACAGGCCCAAGGTCACACAGTATATCTTGGAACCACTGGGACTTGGGCCCAGAGCCCACATAACTACTGTGCTAGACTGACAGATGGAGTCTGGAACCTTATTTTTTTTTTTTTAAATTTCTGATTTTAAGTGGTTTTTATTGTAGAGGAAGTGATAACTTCTCAATGGTACCTACAATTATAAAATAGATATTTGCAATGAATAAAGAGTAACATGTAAGTTCTTGGATATAACAGATAAAACATATAAAGATATCCCCTGAGGCATGAGTAACAAACTTTCAGTCCCCCTCATGCAAAGTTTTGAAAAGGAAGAATGACATCTGGGGGCTTCCCTGGTAGCACAGTGGATAAGAATCTGCCCGCCAACGCAGGGGACACAGGTTCTATCCCTGGTCCTGGAAGATTCCACATGCCTCGGAGCAACTAAGCCCGTGCGCCACAACTACTGAGCCCGCGTGCCACAGCTACTGAAGCCCGCGTGCCTAGAGCCCGTGCTCTGCAACAAGAGCAGCCACTGCAATGAGAAGCCCACACACCGCAATGAAGAGTAGCCCCCGCTCACTGCAACTAGAGAAAAGCCCGCGCTGCAACGAAGAGCCAGTGCAGCCAAAAATAAATAAATAAATAAAATTTTAAAAAAGGAATGACATCTGGGGTTGATCAAAGTACAGTGACACAAAGTACAGTGTCAATGCTATTACCAGTTGTAGGAAAGACGCAAAGATGGCCGGTGGGCTGAAAAGTCAGTGATGGGGATACAGGCTCTTGCTTCCAGTCAAAGACAAACCTCTTGAGTACCGCTAGCAGCTCTGCCAGCAACAGCAGGACGAGCCCTTGACTCACACGTGGATACAGGCGTTAGGGCTCAGCCGCCCTCCCCCTGAGCCTGCGCATACCCCGTCAACCCCACTTCCCTGTCTCAGGAAACATCATCTTCCCCCACCCAGTCATTCAAGCCAGCAACTGGGAGTTATTCTCAACTCGTCTGCCCTCAGCCCACCTGCTGTATTTTAGTCACCGCACCCCAGCTATGTCCTGATCCCCCCACTTCTCATCTCCCCCACTGTCACCCGCAGGCCAAGCCACCAGGAGGAGCATAACAGCCTTCCCTCCCCCCACAATCCACTCACGTGGCAGCCAGAATGACCGCGTCACTGTGCAGAGCTCAGTCACTCCTCAGCTTAAACCCTTGCATGGCTCCCCACTGTCCTCAGGACAAAGACAAAAGTCCTTCTCAGCATGACCTACTTCTTCAGAGAGTCGTTCATTCATTCATTCACTCATTCATTCCATTAGCTCAGTAATCTTGTCTGATCGTGAAATTGTGGCCTCATGCTCTTTAAACCTGTGTCCTCAGGCTGGCTTACAAACATTGTATTTTTGCCGTATCAGGCTCCAACTCCAATTAAGTAACCCAAAGAACTCCCCTAGAAGAGGCAGAAAGAAACCAGTAGCTTATGGGGACTTCCCTGGTGGTCCAGTGGTTAAGAATCCGCCTTCTGATGCAGGGGACATGGGTTCGATCCCTGGTCAGGGAAATAAGATCCCATATGCCGTGGGACAACTAAGCCCGCGTGTGTCGCAACTACTGAGCACGCGGGCCACAGCCAGAGAGAAGCCCATGCGCCTCAGCAGAGGATCTCACGTGCCGCAAAAAGATCCCGAACACCGCAACTAAGACCGACACAGCCAAAAATAAAATAAATAAATAAACATTAAAAAAAAAAAAAAGAAAGAAACCAGTAGCTTATGGGTCTGGAAGCCTTGTTTACAGTGAGATCCTTAGCCAATGAATGTCCCAAATAAACACCTTCAGCTCTGACACCTGCTGTAGGGTGGAGATGCTCTTTCATTCATTATCTTACCTCAGGAGACCCTTTCTTGGGGAAGAAACACTCCCACTGGCCCTACTTTGTCCCCTCAACCCTTCTTCACAAAGCAGCCAGAGTGAGCTTTTTATAGGTGAATATGGACATGTCACTCCCCAGCTTAAAACCTTCCAAGGTCTTTCCAAAGCACTTAGAATGAAACCCAAAGTCGTCACCGGGATCCACTCGGCCCCGAATGACCCGCTCCCTCCCCTTCCCCAACCTCGCCTCCCTTCTCTTTGCCACTCCAGCCACCATGATCTCTGTTGCACAAGCTCTCTCCAGCCTCTGGCCTTTACACCTGCTGTTCCCTCTGCCAGGTCATTATGGCCTTCCAGGGCTCAGCTTGAATGTTGCCTTTCCATAGACGTCTTCCGGGACTCCTCAAATCTAAAGTAGTTCCCTATCGGGAACTTCCTGGTGGTCCAGTGGTTAGGACTCTGCCCTTTCACTGCCCAGGGCCCAGATTCGATCCCTGTTTGGGGAACTAAGATCCCATAAGTCGCGTGGCGCGGCCAAAAATAACTTTAAGAAAAAAAAGCAGCCCCTGATCAACCTCTCTCTCAGCACCCTATTTAATGGTCTTCAGCACAGGTAGGGCCATCTGAAGCTGTCCCGTTAGTACATTTCCTGACCGGTTCACTCTCTGCCTCCCCTGCTGGAATGTAAGCGCCATGAGGGCAGGGAATCCGTCTTGCTCACTGTATCCCCAGCACCTAGATCAGTGCCTGGCACACGGTAGGCTCTCAATAAGTATTTGTTGGAAGAGTAAGTAAATGTGGTTTCAGGTGGTCTTGTCTGATAAAGCTGTTTCATGCAGCCATTCAAGAAAGCCTGGCTCACGTGCCGCAAAAAGATCCCGAACACCGCAACTAAGACCGACACAGCCAAAAATAAAATAAATAAATAAACATTAAAAAAAAAAAAAAGAAAGAAACCAGTAGCTTATGGGTCTGGAAGCCTTGTTTACAGTGAGATCCTTAGCCAATGAATGTCCCAAATAAACACCTTCAGCTCTGACACCTGCTGTAGGGTGGAGATGCTCTTTCATTCATTATCTTACCTCAGGAGACCCTTTCTTGGGGAAGAAACACTCCCACTGGCCCTACTTTGTCCCCTCAACCCTTCTTCACAAAGCAGCCAGAGTGAGCTTTTTATAGGTGAATATGGACATGTCACTCCCCAGCTTAAAACCTTCCAAGGTCTTTCCAAAGCACTTAGAATGAAACCCAAAGTCGTCACCGGGATCCACTCGGCCCCGAATGACCCGCTCCCTCCCCTTCCCCAACCTCGCCTCCCTTCTCTTTGCCACTCCAGCCACCATGATCTCTGTTGCACAAGCTCTCTCCAGCCTCTGGCCTTTACACCTGCTGTTCCCTCTGCCAGGTCATTATGGCCTTCCAGGGCTCAGCTTGAATGTTGCCTTTCCATAGACGTCTTCCGGGACTCCTCAAATCTAAAGTAGTTCCCTATCGGGAACTTCCTGGTGGTCCAGTGGTTAGGACTCTGCCCTTTCACTGCCCAGGGCCCAGATTCGATCCCTGTTTGGGGAACTAAGATCCCATAAGTCGCGTGGCGCGGCCAAAAATAACTTTAAGAAAAAAAAGCAGCCCCTGATCAACCTCTCTCTCAGCACCCTATTTAATGGTCTTCAGCACAGGTAGGGCCATCTGAAGCTGTCCCGTTAGTACATTTCCTGACCGGTTCACTCTCTGCCTCCCCTGCTGGAATGTAAGCGCCATGAGGGCAGGGAATCCGTCTTGCTCACTGTATCCCCAGCACCTAGATCAGTGCCTGGCACACGGTAGGCTCTCAATAAGTATTTGTTGGAAGAGTAAGTAAATGTGGTTTCAGGTGGTCTTGTCTGATAAAGCTGTTTCATGCAGCCATTCAAGAAAGCCTGGTAGGGCTTCCCTGGTGGCGCAGTGGTTGAGAGTCCTCCTGCCAATGCAGGGGACACGGGTTCGTGCCCCGGTCTGGGAAGATCCCACATGCCGTGGAGCAGCTGGGCCCGTGAGCCATGGCCGCTGAGCCTGCGCGTGATACTTAACTGAACTAAGTAGACACGCACTCTGAGGGCTGTTTGCCCCCGCAGAAGCATCCCCTCTCTTCTCTAGCCTGCGGCTCCAGGAGGCTGAGCTCTGTGGGGGATCTCAACAAGCTCCCTTGTCCTCTAGCTTCCGGCTGGGCTCAGCCAATGGGAAGAACCTGCACACGCAGGGAGGGTGGGAGGGGGGAGGTGAGGGCATTCACTGCTCTGTCTCTGCCAGGCTTTGTTTCACTAGTTACTGTGTGTTCCTCTTCTGAAGGCCACATGCCTGTATGACTCTCCCCCTTCCCCTCACAGCTCCCTACCCTCGCCCCTCTGCTGCCCGCCCCAGGATGCTTCTCCATGCTTCTCCATCCAGTATCTCTGTTCCCACGTCCGTAAAATGTCCCTTCTTTAAATCTTTTCAGTCACCCTTTTTGCGTGAGCCTTTGTTTCTTGATAAGCAAGAACCCTGGATGATAGGCCCCATGGCCCTGCAGTATCACTCCTGGGTATATATCCCTGGGAAATTCACACCCAGGTCCATGAGAGGACATGAATAAGCATGGAGATATTCACTGCAGCACTGTCCACAGTGGGGGAGGCAACCTGCGATCCCATCGCTGGGGTGAGAAACAAGTTGGATGTCTACACCGCTATATGGACAGCTCTTAAAAACTGCTTAATGTCCGTCAACAGATGAACGGATAAATCAAATGTGGTCTATACATACCATGGAATATCACTGGGCCTTAAAGATGAAAGAAATTCTGATACATGGTACAACATGGATGAGCCTGAAGACATTATGCTAATCACATAAGCCAGTCATGAAAGGACAAATACTGCATGTCTTCACTTATATGAGGTCCCAAGGGTAGTCAGATGCATAGAGACCGAAAGTAGAGCGGTGGGTGCCAGGGGCTGGAGGAGGGGAACAGAAGAGTTAATGGTTAATGGGGACAGAGTTTCGGGACAGGATGACGAAACAGTTCTGGAAATGGATATTGGTGGTGATGCACAGGATCTTAATGCATTTAATGTTACTGAATTGTACACTTAAAAGTGATTAAAATGGTCTCACAGACAGAGAAAACAATCTTATGGTGAGCAAAGGGCAAGTGGCGGGGAGGGATAAATTAGGAGTTTGGGATTAATCGATACAAACTACTGTATATAAAATAGATAAACAACAAGGACCTACTGTACAGCACAGGGAACTCTATTCAATATCTTGTAATAACCTATAATGGAAAATAATCTGAAAAAGAATATATATATCTGTATAACTGAATCGCTTTGCTGTTTACCTGAAACTAACACATTATAAATCAACTATACTTCCATTTCTTTTTTATTATTATTATTATTATTATTTTTTGGCTGCGCCACACGGCATACAGGATCTTAGTTCCCCGACCAGGGATCAAACCCACAGCCCCTGCATTGGACGTGTGGAGTCTTAACCACTGGACCATCGGGGAAGTCCAACTATACTTCAATTTTTAAAAAAATAATTAAGGGCTTCCCTGGTGGCACATTGGTTGAGAGTCCGCCTGCCGATGAGGGGACGCGGGTTCGTGCCCCGGTCCGGGAGGATCCCACATGCCGCGGAGCGGCTGGGCCCGTGAGCCATGGCCGCTGGGTCTGCGCGTCCGGAGCCTGTGCTCCGCAACGGGAGAGGCCACAACGGTGAGGGGCCCGCGTACCGCAAAAAAAATAAATAAATAAAAAATAAATTAAAACGGTAAATTTTACATTAGGTATGATTAAAATAAAAAATACTAAAAAAAAAAGATCATTCAAACTCAGCTCTCAAAGCCCAAAGCATCTGACCATATATCGGCTAAAGCTATGCTGTCCAATACAGCGGCCACATGCCTTTTGAGCCCTTGAAACATAACGAGTCTTTTTTTTTCTAAATTAATTAATTAATTTTATTTATTTTTGGCTGCGTTGGGTCTTCATTGCTGCGCACGGGCTTTCTCTAGTTGCGGTGACCGGGGGCTACTCTTTGTTGCGGTGCACAGGCTTCTCATTGTGGTGGCTTCTTGTGGAGCACGGGCTCTAGGGCGCGCGGGCTTCAGTAGTTGTGGCGCACAGGCTTAGCTGCTCCGCAGCATGTGGGATCTTCCCAGACCAGGGCTCAAACCCGTGCCCCCTGCATTGGCAGGCGGATTCTTAACCACTGTGCCACCAGAGGAGCCCCATAACGAGTCTTTAACTGAAATGTGCTGTCAGTGTAAAATACACATCAGATTTCAAGGCTTACTATTTAAAAAAAGAATGTAAAATATCTCATTAATAATGTTTTATAGTGATCACACGTTGAAATGATAATATTTTGGATGTGTTGGGTTAGTATAATATATTATTAAAATTTAAAAAAGAGTTCCTGAGGGAATTACCTGGCAGTCCAGTGGTTAGGACTCTGAGCTTCCACTGCAAGGGGCACGGGTTCCATCCCTGGTCGGGGTACTAAGATTCCACATGCCACGGTGCAGCCAAAAATTTTTTTAAATATCGATTTCTTTTTCTAAAAAAAAAGAGTGCCTGATAAAAAAGAAAACTTCAACAACAGTGCTTAGTGAAGAAAAAAAACCAATATGAGGATACAGAATGAAGTGTTAAACAAAATATCAGTTACTATTGAAAATACATCCACAAAAGACAATATATAATTTTTAGAACATGGTAAATAAATACCCATATGAGACTGGCTGAGGGGGAGGGGAGCTGGGAAGCAGAATGGGAATGGGGGATGGGGATAAAGAGGGAACAAATAAAACCAAGAAGAAAGGGGTCTTACGCTCACAGTGACGTGCATTGTGCCATGAGCTGAGACTCACTAACGCAACCCTATGTTCCTGAGATCCAAAAATAGAAAAAGAAAAAGAAAAATTTCTCCTCTCTTGAAACAAAGGCATCTTAATTAAACCTGCCCTGGAAGGTAACTCAGAATCTCTGATCCCTCAAAATTATTTCCCTGTGAAATTGGAGTCCACGAAGTCCTTGCAAAATAGGTCACTGCAGCACCCCCAGCTTGAGCACCACACCTGGTGCACAATATAGACTCAATGAGGGTTTGTTGACTGACTAATGACCGAATGAATGGAAGAAAACGAGGTCCCTCAGCCCTCCCTGAGAGGCAGGAATAATGGAGCAAGAGCCAGATGGTGGCCTAGGACCTGATACAGCCTGCGATGGTGGCTCATTTGGATCGTACAGTCTTTATTTTTAATCTTAAATTATTTGCCGGCATTTAGAAATCAGATTCCATGAACAAATCCGGCTTCTCAGCTTCACTCAAGAAGCAGAAGCTCTGGTAACATGTTATTCCTAGGCCAGACAGAACTGAGGGGCAACTGTCCCCTACCCCACCCCACAGCCCCATCACTCATCCACATTAAGTGCTTGGCCCCCGTAGGTTTTCTAGTTTGAGATCCCTGATGGAGGCTGTTTCTCACTTTTGATCCAAAAGACCAGGAGCTGATAAACTGTCACCAGGTCGGACATTCTCAAAGCAACCAAGGCAAACCAGCTGCTCCCTTCAGCGTGGGGTGGAGGAAAGGTGTGCCTAATTGTACTGACATCTGTAGACAGAAAAGGCACATCTCAAGGTGTGGTCCAAGGGCTCCCCACATCAGAACTGTCTGGGAATTTAGTAAAAATCCAGATTTCTGGGCCTCATCCTAGAACCAATGACTTGATATCTGAGAATCTGAATTTTAACTAGTGTCCCACACCCATGGTTTGAGGCACAGCAAGCAAAGAAACAAGGGATTAACAATGGTGCATGAACACGAGGTGGGTATTCGGAGGACACTGCATTATGGGTCCCAGCGTTGGGAGACCCAGGGTCCTCCAAAGTTGGTGATGAACTAGCCCCCTTAAACTCCAATAATTATTGTTACTGTGTTTTTCTTGTGGTTGTAATATTGTTATTATTTGGTTTTGTTATTATATCATAGGGAGGCAGTAGAGTGTAGAATCTGGATTTCCTTGGGTTCAAATCCTGACTTCACTGTTTACTATCTGTGTGACCTTGGGTACGTAACTTTACTTCTTGGTCTTTACTTCCCCATCTGTAAGTTGGGGATTGTAATAGTTCCTACCTCATAGGGTCACTGTGAAGAGTCAATGAATTAATATATGTTAAGTGCTTACACTACTGCCTGGCAGATATTATAATACACCAGCAATGAGTTTTCATATCAGCTGCAAGACCACCACCAGGAGAGTAGGACCTCCCCCTCTCACCCCCACTCCTTCCTTTAGTGATCATTTAGTGGCAACAGGGGGCAGCCAGGTGACTTACAGCTTCCTTATCATTGTCTCCTTGTTACTGCTGGCATTGCTGGCCCTGGTAACCAGAGCATCTTTTTCTCTTCTTCCTCCTGGGCCTTCTCTTGCTGGGATCAGGCCACTAGGAAAAAGGAGACAAATAAGTGTGCTGTTTTATTGCAGATCTCTTATCTGTGTAGCTCTGAAAGTGAAGGTTCTTAATAATTATTATTATATTAATAATATTATCATTGAAATGCTACAGTTAGACATTCTGACTCAGAAGATTAGAATCTTCCTTCCACCTTTCCACTGTTGACACCTCTTCTTTCTTTCCCTTGGCTAATTCCATTGGCTGGTACTTCAAGCTTCTCCAATTGCTAGAAATATAACCATGTATAAATCCTCTAACTTAACCCTTGATTTCCTAATTAGTAAAATAAGGATAATGAAAGTACCTAATTCCTAGGATTGAGGGATTAAGCGAGATAATAAATGGAATTCATTCATTGTTCAACAAATATTATTAAGCTACAAATTGTACCAATGTATATAGATATAGCAATTAACAAAATAGATAAAATATCTTCTCTCATGCAATTTATATCCCATTGGGAAAGGAAACAGTCAAGAAAGAAATACATAAGTAAAATTAAAAAATATAGAGTAAGTCAGATGGTGATAAGACCTAGATTGATATTGATCAATGAGATATTTAGGTCAGGCGACCCCAAGAGGGCCAGAGTACTTCCCTGGATTTGATGTACAGAACTTGGAAGAAGGCTATTCTCTCTCACTTGGCTGATTGACAGCAGCCATGCTTCCTAAGATTCAGAGAAGGACTGTCTTTAATACAAAATAATAAGGCCAATAAAGAGAAGCAAAGAGGAAAGAAAGAGGCACACAGTCCCTGATTCCAACCCTGAGGCCTTAGTTGCAGTTTTTCCTTTATTTCTGAGACCAGTTCCAGGATCCTTCCCAGCTATGTGAGCCGATAAAACTCCCTTTTGTGCTTAAGCTAGTTTGCATTGGATCTCTGTCACCTGCAACCAAAAGAAGCCTGACCACAGTGAAGCATTTCAATGTCTGACCCAGGCACTTCCTTGGTGGTCCAGTGGTTAAGAATCCACCTTCCATAGGACTTCCCTGGCGGCGGAGTGGTTAAGAATCTGCCTGCCAATGGAGGGGACACAGGTTCGAGCCCTGGTCCGGGAAGATCCCACATGCCGTGGAGCAACTAAGCCCGTGCACCACAACTACTGAGCCTGCATTCCGGAGCCTGCAAGCCACAACTACTGAGCCCCCGTGCCACAGTTACTGAAGCTCAGGCGCCTGGAGCCCGTGCTCCACAAGAGAAGCCACCGCAATGAGAAGCCTGTGCACTGCAATGAAGAGTAGCCCCTGCTCGCCGCAAATAGAGAAAGCCCGCGCGCAGCAACGAAGACCCAACACAGCCATAGATAAATAAATAATTTTTTAAAATATTAAAAAATAATCTGCCTTCCAATGCAGGGGATGCAGGTTCGATCCCTGGTTGGGGAACTAAGATCCCATGTGCCGTGGGGCAACTAAGCCAGGGTGCCACAACTAGAGAGCCCACACGCTGCAACTAAGACCTGATGCAGCCAAATAAATAAATAAATATTTAAAAAAAAATGTCTGACCCAGTAAGCTCATTAGATCCACTTAGGTATTTTGTTGTGGTACCTACTGGTAAATTTATGTCCACGCTACAGACATCAATTTTCCCCTTACTACAGACTGAATTCATATGTTGAAGCCCTAACCCTTAATGTTATGGTATTTGAAGATGGGACCTTTGGAAGACAATTAGGTTTACATGAGGTCATGAGGGTGGGCCCTCATGATGGGATTAGTGCCCTTGCAAGAAGAGACACCAGATGGCTTGCTCTCTCTCTCATTCTCCCCATCATTTGAGGACACAGCAAGAAGGCAGCTGTCTACAAGCCAGAAAGAGCCAGAACCAACCATACTGGCACCTTGATCTTGGACTTCTAGCCTCCAGAACTGTGAGAAAAAAAATTTATATTGTTTAAGCCACCCAGTCTCTGGTGTTTTGTTATGGCAGCTTGAGCTGACTGAGATACCCCTTTAGTTATGAATGTCAGATAGCAGAATTTACCCCTCTCTCTCTTTCTTCGCAAAGAGTGGGCTCTTATTACTTAATATTATTTCTATTTTTGTCATATATATTTATTATAATAATATTCATATGAGAATCATCTAAAAATTACCTTTTCCCACTATCTACCATTACATAACACCCTAAAACTTAGTGATTTAAAACTATGATGATTTATGACTTCTCATGATGGCTCTGTTTCTTATGGTTCATTTGGTGGTTCTCCAGATAGTCTAGTTTGGGGTTCTCAACTGGCTGCATTCAATTGGTGGATCAGCTGGGGGCTGGAGGCAGCTGGGGCTGTCACATGGGACACCTTGGTTCCTCTTCGTGTGACCTCTCCATGTGACTACCTTGAGCTTCCTCATAGCATGGTGGTCTCAAGGCAGCAATCTGAGAGCACAAACATGGAAGCTGCTAGGCCTTTTAGAGCCTTAACCTAGGAAGCCAAACAGCATCACTTCCACCACATTTGATTGGTCAGAGCAAGTCATAGGGCCATCCAGATTCAAGGGGACAGAAAATAGACTCTACCTCTGCTCCGATGAGAGGAGTGGAAAAGTCTCACTGCAAAAGGAATGCAGGGGGACTTTCCTTGTGGCACAGTGGTTAAGAATCCGCCTGCCAATGTAGGGAACACGGGTTCGAGCCCTGTTCCGGGAAGATCCCACATGCCGCGGAGCTACTAAGCCTGTGCGCCACAACTACTGAGCCAGCGCTCTAGAGCCTGTGCGCCACAGCTGCTGAGCCCGTGTGCTGCAACTACTGAAGCCCGCGCGCCTAGAGCCCGTGCTCCGCAACAAGAGAAGCCACCACAATGAGAAGCCCACGCACCGCAATGAAGAGTAGCCCCAGCTCGCTGCAACTAGAGAAAGCCCGCGCGCAGCAACGAAGACGCAATGCAGCCAAAAATAAAATAAATGAATAAATAAATAAATAATTTTAAAAAAGGAATGCAGGATGGGAAAAACTGTTGTGACCATCTTTGGAAACAGTCGACCATATCTGCTTTCAGTTAAAACTATCATTAGTATGAGCTTGGGCCTCCAAATTGATGCAGTTGCTAAGAGAACACCTCAGTTGACATGCTGGTTTCTCCAGAATATATAACACAGGAGACTAAACAGAATCCTGCTGTCTGTCTATTGGCCTGTACCAGATGGGAAGTGCACATCTGTTGTTCTCTGGGAATTCAAAACTGGAACTAACGTGTGTTGCTTTATTCACTAGCAAGCTGCTCATGGCATCGGCAGTCTAAGAGTTCCTCTTTTTAGCTAACCGTGTCTGGAGTACTTATTAAATGAGATGAAGACAGGTCTTTCCATTAACAGCGTTCCAACCTCAGCAGAAGGAAGACAATTAAATTCCTGTTGGCAGAACTCAGCTCTTTTGGATTTAGCTTCCTAGGACATTTTTACTTTGATGCTCTCTTAATGATGTCACATTGAATGAATTTAAGGAATAATATCATTGGGGCTTTGTTTTGTTTTGAATTAGAGTATTTCCTTACTTCCAAACTTTCCGAGTCCAAATGTGGCATGATAATTAAAAGCTCAGGCTCTAATGTCAGGCTGTCTGATGTCATATCTCAAGGTTGCCACCACCAGCCCTGGGACTTCAAGCAGGTACTTGACCTCTCTGACCCTTAGGTCATCTTGGGGATAACATTACCCTAACTCATAGGCTTGCTGTGAACACTAATTGAAATGATGCTCGGGATACATTTAGCACATGGTAAGCATTGATAAATATTAGTTGGCACTACATTTTGTTTGTTTTGGTTTTTACTTTTTGGCGGCACCCTGAGGTATGTGGGATCTTAGTTCCCCCACCAGGGATCGAACCTGCGCCCCCTGCATTGGGAGCTTGAAGTCTTAACCACTGGACAACCAGGGAAGTCCTGGCACCATGTTTTTATTCTCTTGATCTATCCTTCTCCTGCCTCTAAGGAAACCTGCTTTGTTTAACTCAGTGTTTCCCAGAATTATTCAACCACAGAGCTCCTTTTTGCCACGCTGTGTGGCTTGTGGGAACTCAGTTCCCCGACCAGGGATTGAACCTGGGCCACAGCAGTGAAAGCGCCGAATCCTAGCCACTGGACCACCAGGGAACTCCCTAGAGCTCCCTTTTCATAGTTTACATAAAGTAAACTATTTGGGGAAACATGGTGCAGAAGGATAAAGAGAAGTCCAAACCTGTCATGTCAACAGCCTCCTTATTTCCTCTCTCGCTTGCCCTACAGTTCCTCCTCTACCCAGTATTATTGTGATCTTTTCTAACTTTTAATTTTTATACAATTTCAAACTTAGAGAAAAGGTGTAATACTAGTGCAAAAACTTCCCATATATCTATAGCCAGATCCCTCCAATGCTTAACCGTGTATCTATCTACCTACCCATCCATCCATCCATCCACCTATCCACCTACCCATCCACCCATGCAACCATCTTCTCTCTGAACTACTTGAGAGTAAACTGGAGACAAGAATCCTACCCCCTCACTCCTAAATGCTTAAGTGTCTTTCCAAAGAACAAGGACATTCTCTCACATAACCAAGTCATTCAGTTATCAAAATCACCACATTGATCTTTTAAAATAGTAAATCAGACTGTGTCATTCCCTTAAGATTTCCCCAAATCTTCTCATTACACTTACAATAAAACTAGAGCTCCTGGGCTTCCCTGGTGGCGCAGTGGTTAAGAATCTGCCTGCCAATGCAAGGGACATAGGTTTGAACCCTGGCCTGGGAAGATCCCATATGCCGTGGAGCAACTAAGCCCATGCGCCACAACTACTGAGTCTGAGCTCTAGTGACCGCAAGCCACAACTACTGAAGCCTGCGTGCCTAGAGCCCGTGCTCCGCAACAAGAGAAGCCACAACAATGAGAAACCCACGCACTGCAACGAAGAGTAGCTCCCGCTCACCGCAGCTAGAGAAAGCCCACTTACAGCAACGAAGACCCAACACAGCCAAAAATAAATAAATAAATAAATTTATTTTTAAAAAACCCCCAAAACTAGAGCTCCTTCCTGTGGCCAAAAAGGCCACCCCTCAGTCTCTTCTGGACCACCCTCTACCTCACATTCCAAGTTCCACCATGGTGGGCCTCTTAAATTGGCCAAATGGGTTCCTACCTCAGGGCCTTTGCACTTCTTGTTCTACTTTTACGCAACCAAATCTTTATGTGGTTGGCTGCTTCTTGTCATTCACCTCAGGGGGGTCTTCCCTGACCACCCAGTCTAAAGCAGGGCCCCCCTAGCACTCTGCTCTCTGTCATGTCACCTTGATCTACATTCCCTTCAGCACTCACCGCCATTATCCTGTGTGTTCATTGCAGGCCTCCTGGCTGATTGCCTGTCTTCCCCCTAGACTAGCACGGACTTTCTGTTTTGTTCCTGCTCTACCCCCAGTGCCAGGAATAGTGTCTGGCACATAGTGGGTCTTCAATAAGTAGATTGGATGAACATAAGAACAGACATGTAATACATCAACGAATTCTAGGCAGTGTCTTGCTCTGCGGTGTAGGAGCCCCAGGCAGCACAGCCCACCTCTTATAGCACTGCAGCTCTTCCTGCACCACCAGCAGCTGTGACTTGAGTTTGTTGCGCTCCTGCAGCACGTCTCTCAGCTCCTGTAGAGTAAAGCGTGGTCGGTTGGGATCTGTCAGGTCAACCACCATTTTGTCTGGTCCCAGGTTCACCTGTAAGAAAAGACATCACTTATACAGTTTCCCTCATGAGGACAGACTGTCCATCTCAGAAAGGAAAGTTCTCTTGTTCTGTTACTACTCCCAGGGACCCGATGAGATGAGATGTTGCCTCTTGGAAGTGTTTGGTTGATGGTAAAGAGGCAAGAATTCCAAGTACCATTCTCCAAGAAAGGAGCCAGGGCTCCTTGGAGAATAGCTGAGTCCAGGGCTGGAACAGGGAAAGTCCAAGTTGAGTCTGGAACATTCCATTGTGTAAGGGATGGAGACAGATCAAAAGGACACAGTTTGAAGGCACTCCTACTGGCCAAACTGAACGACTTGAGTATCCGCGTGAATAGTAACAGGAATGGATAATAACCCATCAACTAAAAACAGGATTCAGGAATCCATACTTAAAATTTTTAATTTAGTGAATTCCCTGGTGGTCCAGTGGTTAGGACTCCAAGCTTCCACTGCGAGGGGCATGGGTTCAATCCCTGGTCGGGGAACTAAGATCCCACATGCTGAGTGGTGTGGCCAAAAAAATAAAATAAATAAAAATTTAAATTTAAATTAATTAACTAATTAATGGGGATGTAATGGCTAATCTTATGTGTCAACTTGACTGGGCTAAGGGATGCCCAGACAGCTGGTTAACCCATTATTTCTGGGTGTGTCTGGGAAGGTGTTTCTGGAAGAGATTAGCATTTGACTTGGTGACCTGAGTACAGCAGAGGCTCCTCCCCAGTGTGGGTGGGCTTCATCCAATCCATTGAGGGCCTGAATAGAACAAAAAGGTGGAGAGAGGGTGAATTCACTCCCTGCTTGAGCAGGACATCCCTCTTCTTCTGCCCTTGGACAGTGCGCACATCAAGCTTCCCGGTTCTTGGGTTTTTGGACCTAGACCAGGACTTATACCATCAGCCCCCTGACACAAGCCTTCTGACTTGGACTGAATTACACCACCGGCTTTCCTTATTCTACAGCCTGCAGGCAGCAGATTGTGGGTCTTCTTGGCCTCCATAACCACGTGAGCCGATTCCTATAATAAATATTCTCATCTGTGTCTATATCTACATCTATATCACCTATTGTTTTATTTCTCTGGAGAACTCGGACTAATAGCAGAAAGGAGGAGGGGGATCCGTACATTACAGAAGATGCCAATTAATAGGTGTAGAAGATGATAGAGTTAGAAAATCATCCTTTTGCAACCAACGCAGTAATAATCGATTCAGGCAAGACTAATGAATGGACCTAAAACTTTTGGGTGAAAGTTTGTTGGGGAACAGGATATTTCACAGTTTCAAAGTACTTTTTCCATAGGCTACTTATGCATTACAAAGGGAATAAAGACACCCTTACAGTACAGAAATCTTGCAGACACCACCTTAACCAAGTGATAGAAGTTACCATCGCCAATAACGACAAACTGAATCAGGTGCCTCCTGATACGAGGCACCGAGAAGGACACAGCATCACTTAAGTGGTATCCCTGCTAAACATGTATAACTTGAATCTAACCACGAGGAGACATCAGAACAAGCCCAAGTTGAAGGACGTTCTACAGACTGATATACAACCTTCAAAGATTTCAAGGTCATGAAAGACAAGGAAAAGCTGAGGAACTGTTCCAGACTAAAGCTGACTAAAGAGATATGTCCTAAAGGTACCGTATAAACCTGCATTGGATCTTGCATCAGAAAAAAAAAATGCGATAAAGGATATTATTATGAATTTTGAATAGGGATGGCATATTCGATCTTAGTATTCTACCAACTTTTCCCCCTGAATTCAATTATTTATTGTGGTTATGTAACAATATGTCTTAGGAGATACACACTGAAGTATTTAGTATTTAGGGTGAAAGATCCTAATCTTTTACTAACTCTGCAGCTAACATAATGTCTGAAGATTCTGAGCGAATAAATAATATATAGACATAAATATTTGTTAAATATGAGTACATATGTGCATATATACATGTATGTATATGTGTGTATATAATACTTCAATGTGTATCTCTTAAGACATACTATACACAAACACAAGCACATATATACATACACCTGAATATAACACCTGAATTCAGGTGAAAGGTATACAAGTGTTCATTGTACTTATCTTGCAACTCTTCCATAGGTTTGACATTTTTTCAAACTAAAGTTAAAATAAAGCAAATATTTGAAAACAACCTAAATGTCCATTAGCAGAAGTCTAGTTAAACAAACTAAGGCACAACCACACTCTGGAATATTCTACAGGTGATAAAGAGAATAAGCCACACTGTAAAGAGAAATGCAATAGTGACCACATTCCTCCTCTCGGATTGATAAACATCAGCGTGTTTGAAAACACACTGTGTTGTAAAAGCTGTGGGGAAACCGGTTCCTTCACTGATTGCAGAGGGAGCCAATCTCTTTAACTCCTTTGGAGTGCAACTTGACAATACTTATTAAACCTTCCAATGCAGGGGACTTCCCTGGTGGCGCAGTGGTTGAGAATCCGCCTGCCAATTCAGGGGACACGGGTTCGAGCCCTGGTCCAGGAAGATCCCACGTGCCGCGGAGCAACTGAGCCTGTGCGCCACAGCTACTGAGCCTGCGCTGTAGAGCCCACGAGCTGCAACTGCTGAAGCCCACACTCCTAGAGCCCGTGCTCCGCAACAAGAGAAGCCACCACAATAAGAAGCCCGAGCTCTTTGGTCTCAGCGGCAGAAGCGAGATGACAAAGGGAACGTCCTCTTTTGGAAAGCGTCGGAATAAGACGCACATGTTGTGCCGCCGCTGTGGCTCTAAGGCCTACCACCTTCAGAAGTCGACCTGTGGTAAATGTGGCTACGCTGCCAAGCGGAAGAGGAAGTATAACTGGAGTGCTAAAGCTAAAAGACGAAATACCACCGGGACTGGTCGAATGAGGCACCTAAAAATTGCATACCGCAGATTCAGGCATGGATTCCGTGAAGGAACAACACCTAAACCCAAGAGGGCAGCTGTTGCAGCATCCAGTTCATCTTAAGGATTTCAATCATTAGTCACGCAATAAATGTTCTGGTTTTGAGAAAAAAAAAAAAAAAAAAAAGGAGGCAGTGCACCACAACGAAGAGTAGCCCCCACTCGCCGCAACTAGAGAAAGCCCACGCACAGCAATGAAGACCCAATGCAGCCATTAATTAATTAATTAAAAAAAGAAACTTCCAATGTGGCTTTCCTTTGACCCAGTGAATCCACTTCCCCTAGATACTGAGGGGGCCAACTGCTATAGGCCAGAGTAATTCACTGTTGCATGGGGTCGGAGCAAACGATTGGAAAATGAAGGTCTTTTGATAGGAAACTGGTTAAAGCAGAGATTCTGAACCTTTTTTGTGTGTGTTCCGTGGACCCTTACGGCAGCCTGGTAAAGCCCACACGGATTCCATCTCAAAATACTGATTTTAAATGTATAAAAGGCATAGAATTACAAGAAAACCAACTAAGATAACACACTCATCAAAATCTTCTAAAAATAAATTTGTGATTCCTAGACCTGCTTCTTTATTGAATAACACGATGTAGCCACAGGTCTAATAAGATACAGAAGGAAAACAAAGTTTTGAGGTCTGTACTACACTGTAATGGGATATGAAAACATCTGTGATTTCCATTGGTGTTTGTCACAGGTACTGCTAATTACTGTGATTTGTTGTCTGTAGTCATAATTGAAGAAAGTGTTATATTTCAGATGGAGGTTGGTGAAAATAAAAATACAATTTCTTCTCATACAAGTTCATAGATTTTGCAGATTAGAATCATGGTCCTCTTGGGGGGTTCCAAAAACTCCAAGTTAAGAACCCTCACGTTGAGCAATGGATAATACTGTACAGTGGAAGTTTTCAAAAGCCATTAAAAGGTGAGTAAGCTCTTTATATTCTAATTTAGTACAACTTTCATGCCATGTTAAGTGTAAATAAGCAAGAGGCAGAATGGGGTATATATTATAATAACATTTGTGTGAATAACGGAAAAATATATTCATATCTGCTTGTGTTTGCACAAAGTATCTCTGGATACTTTAAGAAACTGATCATTTTAATTTTTTCTAGGGAGGGGAAGTGGTGGCTAGGGGTGGAGAGAGATGGGGAGGGAGCTTTTCCAAGGCAAACACTTTTGTAACACTTGAATTTTGAACTTAAATTTTTAAAAAAGAAAGGAAACAAACTATTCTCATACCCATTGTGATGGCTACTGTAATCAAACAAAACAGAAAGTAAGTGTTGGCAAGGATGTGGAAAAATTGGAACTCTTGTGCATTGCTGGTAGGAATGTAAAATGGTGTGGTTACTATGAAAAACGGAATGGCAGATCCTTTAAAAATTAAAAATAGAATTATCATGTGATGCAGCAATTCCACTTTTGGGTATATACCCAAAAGTCTTGAAAGCAGGGACTTAAAGAGAGATTTATGGATCCACGTTCATAGCAACATTATTCACACAAATCAAGAGGTGGAAGCAACCCAAGTGTCCATCAACAGATGGATAAACAAATTGTGGTGGATCCATACAATGGAATATTATTCAGCCTTAGAAAGGAAGGAAGTTCTGACACATGCCACAACATGGAAGAACCTTGAGAACATTAAGTGAAATAAGCCAGTGGCAAAAGGACAAAGATTATCTGACTCTACTTATATGAAGTTCCTAGAATAGGTAAATCCATATAGACAGAAAGTAGAACAGTAGTTACCAGAGGCTTGAGGGAGAGAGGGCATTTGGAGTTAGTGTTTAGTGGGTACAGAGTTTCAGTTTTGCAAGACAGGAGTTTTGGAGAGGATGGTGGTGATGATTGCATAATAATGGCTGTGAATGTACTTAAGGCCACTGAACTCTGCACTTAAAAAGATGGTAAATTTTATGTCTACCACAACTAAAAAAAACAAGAAAGAAAGAAAGAAAAGAAAACAACACTAGGGCATATTTTTATAAATTGTCTACTGACACTAAATATTCATTTTCTCTGCCTTTTGCCCCACCCCTGTTCTTAAGACTACAGTTTGGGAGGAAAACGTGCCAGCTCATCTGCTGGCTGACGAAGCTTGTCCGCTATGCCCCAGACAGGAAATGACCTCGCCCCCGTGCAGACCACACTGTTCATGGTCCGTGATGGGGCTTTCTCCATATCCTTGTGCCTGGAGTTGGAGGTGACAGGTAAAGAGCACAGAATGTGAGCTGAGGGATCTTAGGCAAGTCATTTAACTGCTCTTGAATCTCAAAAGTCAGGCTACTAATCATGACACTCAACCATCTCATATGACGGATACTAAAGAAGAACCTTATCTACAAACATAATTGTCACCGTGAGCAATGAGTAGCTGAAATAAGAGTACCAAGGAAGCTACCAGAAACCTTCACTCTTCCCTATGAGTTTCAGCCGCCCAGTTCCTGCTGTCCTTTCATGGCATACTTCTCAGTTTGTAATCCTGTGGTCTAGTTTTGGAGGTCTGTGTGTCTTGCCTCTCCCACTAGATGTGAAGCTCCGTGAAGGCAGGGACCTTGTCTAATTTAGTGCCATAGCTCCAGAGCCCACACAGTGCAGTCACTCATCAAATGTTACTACAAGAAAGGTCATAGGTCTGTATTTTAGTACAGTGTGGTTATGACTAGCATCTCTGAGCTCAAATCCTGCCTCCACCTCTTACTTGTTGTTAAGTCCTCAGGCAAATTACTTAACTGTTCTATGCCTCCATTTCTGTAAAATGGGAATAATAATAGTATGAGGATTAAATGAGATAATCCCCTTGGGGCAGTTTTGTTTTGTTTTTTTAAACTGTAGCTGGAGATTCACTAGTGAGTCATGATATTAATTCAGTGAGTTGCAAAATAATTTAAAAATTCATAAAAATAGAATAGGAAAGTATGACTGTACATCATGTTTAGTAAGGGAGAGTTAGGGTAAATTGTTGAAACTTTTGTTTCATCAATACTGGATATCAACGTAAAATGTAATTTTGTAAAATGGGGGTATAACATGTATACAGAAAAATGCACTAATCTTGAGTTTATAGCTTGACAATTTTTACCATATGTGTACACCCATGTAACCACACCTGGATTAATTCTCTATAAATGTCCCTCCTGCCCCCCCCCACTCTCCCATCCCACGGCTACCATCAACCTGTCTTCTATAAGTAAAGATTATTTTGCCTGTCCTTGAATTCCACATGCAGGACGCTCTCTTTTGTACCTGGCTTCTGTCTCTCAATGTAGGATCTGTAGGATTCATCCATACAGTTGTGTGTATCACAACTCTGCTCTTTTTCATTGTTGTGTAGTATTCCATCATATGAATGTACCACAATTTAAAAAATTGATTCCTCTTTTCCATTTGGATTGTTTCCAGTTTGGCACAATTATGAATAAAGCTGCTCTGAATATTCTTTTTTTTTTTCGGTACGCGGGCCTCCCACTGCCGTGGCCTCGCCCGCTGCGAAGCACAGGCTCCGGACGCGCAGGCCCAGCAGCCATGGCTCACGGGCCCAGCCGCTCCGCGGCACGTGGGACCCTCCCGGACCAGGGCATGAACCCGCGTCCCCCGCATCGGCAGGCGGACTCTCAACCACTGCGCCACCAGGGAAGCCCTCTTTTTTTTTATTTTAATTAATTAATTAATTTTTGGCTGAGTTGGGTCTTTGTTGCTGTGTGCAGGCTTTCTCTAGTTGCGGTGAGTGGGGGCTACTCTTCATTGCGGTGAGCGGGCTTCTCATTGCGGTGTCTTCTCTTGTTGCGGAGCACAGGCTCCAGGCGTGCGGGCTTCAGTAGTTGTGGCTTGCGGGCTCTAGAGCCCAGGCTCAGTAGTTGTGGCGCACGGGCTTAGTTGCTCCGTGGCATGTGGGATCTTCCCGGGCCAGGGCTCGAACCCGTGTTCCCTGCATTGGCAGGCGGATTCTTAATCACTGTGCCACCAGGGAAGCCCTAAATATTCTTATATGTATCTTTTTGTGGTCATAAGTACTAATTTCTCTTTAGTTAAAAAGTATTTCTTACTCTAGGTCAAAGTTTCTCAAAGTGTGAAACCTGGACCAAGAGAATCAGCATCATCTTGGAACTTGTGAGAAATGCAGATTCTCAGGTCCCATTGCAGACCTACTGAGTCAGAAACTCTGCAACTGGGGCCGGGCAATCTGTGTTTTAACGAACACTCAAGGTGATTTTGATGGCTGCTAACCACTGCTGAAGGTCCTGGTAAAAAATGCTGGAAGCCGCTGCTTTAGAACACACTCGGCACAGGGGCCAGCACCGAGCAAGTGCTCGATTAATGTTAACCATCTTAACGCTTCTAATCTGAGGATTGCATACCCGTAGTGATTTGTTTTGAGGAGCTTGGATGTTCAAGAGAAGAAAGCGTCCCCCCTGCCAGTGGCCGCTCCCCGCACTCACCTCCCTGCCGGCCGCCGAGCTCTCTCTCCGCAGCCCCTCCACCTCCTTCCGGAGGTTGTCCCGCTCCATTCTTAGCTCCTCCACCGTCAGGCTGCCCTCATTCACCAGCGTCTCCAGCATCTCCAGGACGCGGACGATCTTGAACTGCAGCTGTGTCACCCGGGGGTCGCTGCCCAGGGCCATCAGCTCGCGTCCCATCACGTAGGAGATGTCATATACGTCCTCGGCGGTCAGCTGGAAGGGGCTCTTGCCCAGGGCCCCCTCGGGCCCAGCCTCGTCCCCCTCCTCCTCTTCCTCCTCTCGCAAAGGGGGCTCCTCCATGGCCGCCCAGACCCCTGCAGCCTCCGGAGCTGCTGCTTTCTCGGAGTTTCCGAATGTCCAGCTTCCTCCCGGCACAGAAAACTTTCCGCGGGGCAGTGGACCCTGCCTGTTCAGGGCGGGGCAGGAGCAGCCAATCAGCGCAGCCGAGGGGTGGGCCCGGAGAGGGGCTGTAGGAGGAGGCCACGCAGGGCAGCTCGCAGGCCAGGACTCCGGGTGCACCGTCCCAGCGGGGGCCCGTGCGGGAGTGCGGGCTCCAGGATGTGGTTGGGGCACGAAAGGACACGGGAAAGGGAGGGCCGCCGCGAAGACGCACAGAGAGGTTAAGGGGTGACAGTGATCGCTCCCAGCCCGAGAGCGGTTGCAGACGGGGAGGGGCAGCGACCCCAGCTCCGCCCTTGGTGACAGCCACCGCAGAAGCCGGGTTTCCACGGAGACAGGGGCGGAGTTTCCACCGCATTCTGGGAAGGAGGCTAAAAAGCACACAACTCTTCCCTTTCTGCACTCAGGTGTTCCAGCCATAGAATTTGCATGGTACTGCGAGGCAGATCCGGTCTCTGAGAATATTTTCTGAAGCGTGCGGCAAAGCAGAAAACAGCAGTTGGTGGCAGCGCGCGGGAGTCTAGTGGTCTGTGTTGCGCAGAGCTTCCAGGCCTATGGTCACCGGGACCGGCGGCATCTGACCCTCAGTTAAATGGAGATTCCCTGCGCTATGCACCTGGCTCTATCCTGGGTTCCTCCACTTGACCAGCGTGTGGCCCTTGCAAGTTACTTAACTCCCCCGAGCCTCACTTTACTCCTGGGTAAATAACCGCACCTACGGAGTAGGGTCGTTGTGAGGAATATATGAGATCATGAGACAATGACTGTGACAAAAAGCACTTAGGAAAGGCTCAAAAAATGTTAGCGGTGGGTTTCCCTGGTGGCGCAGTGGTTGAGAGTCCGCCTGCCGATG